GCAGTGGATAGCGGCACTCTCTAACATAGACGACTGACCAAGAATCGAAGTTGTTGCAGACTATAGACTGCGTACCGGACACGATTGCATGGCGAACCACCTTCACATGATAGACGTATACGCTCAATCAATATGCCCCCCAAGTGACCTACAGGAGGAAATGGAGAAGACTCACCTGGTTCCTTGTCCAGCCCTAAAGACAACGATGGAAACTCAGAGATACTGGGTAGCTAGAAGTCAACTAAGTAGACCCAACTGCGTATCTAGGATGAAAAATGAAAGGAGATGGGACAGCCACTGAACCGGCAACACACAACATCTCTTGAGTCAAGGAGCAACAGTAAAAGCTCTGGAACGCTTTGATATGTCCATAATTATCAATAAAATTTAATTGCATTATTGTAGAACCCGTTTGAACCATTTGTTGGATGAATACAAGAACCCAATGATATCTCACAACTTCCATAACATTTCCCCATTTTGCGTCTTTCTCCTTAACAAGTTGTACTTCCGTCGTTGATGTAGGGAGAAGATACTTTTCTTTCCTAGTGAACTATTTGCCGTAAGATAACAAACCCCAAATGCAGAAAAACAATTGATTTCGAAATAATAATAACCAAATAAGGATTGTCCAACATACTTTTCATTGATAATTGGCTGGAACTAATGTCAGAGAAAGCATTCAGACAGAGAAAGTAAAGATAAGGAAAAAACTTGCAGATAATAATATATTCAATTTTTGTAATTATTCTTTCGTATTCATTGCTAAAAATCGTTCCTTATGAAGACGACGTACCCCCGAATTTTAAAGCATCTGCAAATGAGTGAACGGAATGCAATTAGTGATATATTAATAAAATCATTTAATTGAAATTAGACTGCTCCATAATCAGGGGGAGTTGTAAAAATAAGCGTAACTGGCTTTAACATAAGCACAAAAGGGGAATTTAAGACAACAATACCAAAAAAAACAAATTTTCCTCTGATCATCATTCATCCCGTTATTTTTTGACCAGCCTGTATGATGACCATTTTTTGCGCAAACATTATTCTGAAAATATGGAAAACAATACTGGTATCGAATAGTTGGACATTATTAATATAAGCCACACTGTAATTCATTATTCTAAACCGGAATTTACGCAAATGTCTGCCAATAAACACCATTGAGATTTCCATTCCTATCTGATGCTTGCGTGACACGTCTTCTAATTTTAAAGGCTTGGCGATCACTTTAAGAGTAAAAATGTTCCCGACACTAACTAAATCAAAATATTGAATAAGGGCTATGAAAATCGTTTGAGGAAAAGTGAAGTATCAGAGGCACAATTCGGTTAAGTTGAGATATCTTGAAATTGCTCAAAAGAGAAACCCGCATTCTACCACACTTCATGCTGATTAGCTTTAAATAGTGTGGTTGATCCTTCAAATAAGTGAACGTACACCTCTAAAGCTCGACCTCACAACCACTGATTTCGCATATTTGTAGGATCCAAGACATACCCGCTTTCATTATGTTTATGTAATGCATTAATGAAACAGGAAACTCTTGCAGGAGCTCGTAAATTTAGACTATATTTTGGCATTCCCTAATTTAAAATTTCTTTATTTCGATATTATCTGACAAAAATATGTTGCTGTATCTTGAAGTTATAATGAAATCTATCCTTATAATGCTAATTGGAGTTTCGATGGCCATTAATGTAACTTTGAGGTGAATAAGAGACTAGGTGTTTTAATAATTATATATTTTCTACTTGTCCGCATTTCTGACGTTCGATTGTTTGAAAAGTGTGTCCTGTTGAAATTATTTCAAAAGGTGTTAATTTTCTGTCTAGACAACGTGCTTACCTACCAAACTAAGCTAACTGGCAGGCGAAAGAATGGTTGAAGCATGATGGGAGAGTCGTCTCATCTCCATGGGCAAAACCCATCTGACCTAGTTCAACTCCATCTGTAAAACTACGCATCGCCTTCAAAAGCAGAATTTCCCATTTATACACTCAATCGGAACTCCTAAAGGAGGAAATATTGTTTAATAATTACCCTTCTCTATTTGTCAAGGCAATATACTTCCTTAGAAATAGAAGTTAGCCCAATTGGATAACGGCTAAGTTGAAATTCGCTTATTTAGAAATTTCCGAAAGTGGCATAATTTTACCTTCTTCAACAGTGCGAAAGTACATAGATGCTTCGCTCTGTGAACAGTTCTGAATCATGTTGAGATAGCATTTTCACTGATTAGAACGGTTGAGTGTGTCCAAATCTTTATATTCACAATACTTATTGCTAAATATTTAATCAAATTGCAAGACCGTAGCTACACCTTAAAATACTCTTTTGTTGTTTTAAAAGTAATAAACTGCATTATTACCCTCGGCAGAGTATAAACCTCTAAATCCTTTCGACTGGAAGAGAATCGAAATAGCCTTCACAGAGGTTGGAGCATCGGGCACAGAAACAAACACACTTCAATTAAATTTTATCTTCATTTATATATTTTACCAAGTATAGCCACTTGCATTTTGCAGAACATGGCATTCCAATGTTATAAATTCAAAACTTGAGTAAGATTTATAATTTATAGTATTCATGTGTGAACAGAAATTAGGATAAATCAGTAGCAGCTTAGCTAGATAATTGTCAACAGGAGTATGGTTCTGACATTGATTCTCCAATTTATTTTGATTCTCACCACTCAACAAATAGAGAAAGCCTGATTAAACACCATGGAAGATTTGTATATATGAATGGCAAGATAATGATTTTGCAGTACTGCGTTGGTTTACAGAGGGAGTGAATGTAGCTCAGAGGGGATCGCTCACGTTCACCTAATCACTACCGGAAGTTGATCTAAGGGTTTTAGTTATTGGGATGAAATGTCTCTTTCATTAGGCCTGAGTCGTCCCCTCAGCTGTCATTTTTCTTTGATAGATTAATATCACTTCAATCGTATTCAATTTTAGTCGAGATAATTGGTGTAATTAATGAGGAGAGATAAATTAACCTAAAAAACACTAAAGGTGGTTTGCCTAAAGGTTAAACTGGGAGACTCATTAAATCGCTCAAATAATCGCCCATTCTTATAAAAACGAATAATTGGTCTTAACCACACCTCGAGATGCTAAATCTACTGTGATTGAATATTTTCCTACTTTGATAAAAAAAGGTACGACTATAAATGGATGATGGACTCTCGATTTTGCTACCCTCCGTGGTTATATTGATTATTCATGTATTCTCCAAAATGAAGCCAATAACCGCTGTACTACCTATTAAAACGCGAATTCTCACATTTCTCCAAGGGGTGAAGATTAGCCATTAAACGTTCTCAGTAAAAGCAGCTTTTATGACTATCACTCAGAAGTCAACAAAAGCGCACACCCAACAAGTGTGCGAGTGATGAACTGAAATTTTTAAATTATCCAAATTTACTAGGGCTTAAGATTATAGATTTCATTCCAATGCACCGAAACTTACGACGTGACTTCTAAACAACAGCATCTCTGCTAGACGTAGCTAAAAATATCCCAAAAGCAACCTCAAAATTGCCCATAAATTTGCATCGAAAATGTGGAGTACTTCAATGTTTTCCGTCTAGAAGAAATACTCATTCAGCTTTTAGACGTTCTATTAAGTTGGATCCATATTATAACTTCAAGTGCTTAATGCCTGCTGATAAGAGTCTAGCGGATATAAATCGAATTATCTAAAAATGATAGGATTTAGTTAAAATCGATGCCAAGGGTTATATAACCGCTTGAGTGAGTTTTTAATATTTAATTAGCAAGAAGAATTTTGCTTTGTCATGTTGTCTCCAACATAATAGAATTTCAAAGAAAATTGTTTTCCCTTCTAATGGCTAGCCTTAAGAGGGTTTATTTTAAAAATGGGCCGGCTTCCAAAATGAATATTTCAGAATTTTGCTTGGTAAACGTAATTACAGGTTCTTAGAATATCTTGATTCCATTTAAAATTAGACTAAATTTTAATAAAACCCAGGCAAAAAATAAGGCTTTTGTGGATAGAATAGTGCTTTTCATTCAATCTCACCATTATGTGAAGCTCTAAACTAGTTCAAGCCTATTTAATTTAAACTTTTCTATCAAACACGATATTGTAAAAATGAGATTAAATGTGAAATTTGTCCATGAAATCTGTTTCTGTTCACCTGAACTCCTCAAGAGTAATACAAACTTTAATAGTGTTCTATGCAAAGAAACCCTCAACTCAATCTCATTAATCCTTTCGCAAAATGATTTGAATGCATAAACCATAAAAATACCTAGGCTATGTCCAAACAGGTGAAAATACAAGCAATTTGGTATGGAGAGAGAGTTAACTGAAAAGGCTGAAAATTGAGTTCAATTAACTCTACGGTGCACGAATATTGGTCGATGATTAACTAAGAGGTCACCGCATCTTCTTAATGCCTGTTTGATACTTACTAGGTATCAGGTGAGGACTTCCGTTAGGCCTAATAGCGGCGTACATTCCGTCAATTCGGTCAAATTTCAGCCTAAAGTTTCCATTTTTTGCAGTTCACAATTTAAAATTTAATCTAAAAATTAAACTAACTGATTTCCTAACCAGATAAACTTGGCAAATTAATATACGATTCAATAAATTATGCAATTAAAAAGGAAAATAATTTTCATTATTGAGTATCCTAGCACAAACTATATAATTTTACTAAATTTTAAAATTACGATTAAAAACTGAATTGGATTATTCATTAGTAGGTAATCAATTATTCAACTGAAATTATTGCTTTATTCAGTTTTCAAACTTCTTCGGTTTCAAATTTCCAGTGTTAAAATAAAAAGAGAATCCAAGGGGGTTTGTTCAGCGCTTCGTCGATATTACACCTAGATCGCAGTCAATTTAATTAATGAATCACACTTTAGCATCGGTTTCATTGGCTCCTATTAAAGTGTTAAAGAATGTTTGCTTTGAATTGTAACAAGCAACCAGGTGTTCTACCATTGCCAAGTTGTTAGATGAATTCTACATACGTTTCATCTGTCGGACTAAATCCAAATAACCAAGTCAGTTACAGACGACTTTATGAGGTACCTGGTAACGATAACTATGGTCTCACGCCTAAACTGGACGATGAAGTTCTAGCTCTTCCCTGGGATCGCCGATATGGAGTTATGTTTTTCTCACAAACTGCGCTTCTCTACGGTCCTTTCTCCGTCCTGTCAACAGATGAGCAGTATTTGCTCTCCCAGATGCCGCGTTTCATTCAAGAACGAGGGAAGAAGTGTCAGTACAGGATATACGAAACATATACTGGAGTAAAAATAGCCAAAGGTGGACTTAGAGTTCGTCCAAGAGACCCTTCAACCGATCGAGTCTACTACTTCCCCTCCCACTTCCCGAATCATATCATTCTCTCCGTTTTACATTTTGATGGTGACCGTTCGAGTACGTGTGCTGTTCTTGTCTATAGATTCAAAACGGCTGATATAGCTTCTCAGGCCTATGCAATGCTTACAGAGACGAACATCGTCCCAACACTAGGACCGTCCTCATCTCAGATAAGACGATCTTCTCTAAATCGAATGACATTTATGCGAAAACCCCCCAATAATTTTCCCACTGCACGAAACCGATTGGGAGATGCAGAAATTCAGTCTACATTGCATCCACAACTCGAACAGTCGTGTGCTGATTTAAATGACCGCCAACAAAAGGTATCCTCTCCCACTTTATGTAAACGGACTGGATCTAAAGAACGAAACAAAAGCCATCACCAGGTTAAGTTGCAAAAATCAATGCAGATGAAATCCTCAAGTCAACGATGTTTTTGTGGCGCTTGTGGGCATGGTATTGAAGACCATCTCGCTAATGGAAAAAAGGTCAGAAATTCACCTCAAACAAATACGGGGTCCTTTTTCATTCTAAATGGAAAAAACTATCCATTGAAAGTATTTAGAGAGAAAATAACCCAAGACGATGAACCGTTGCTAGAAGTTCGATTAAGTGGAATGAAATTTACAAAACAAATGAACAGAAGTAGCAGTTCATGTAGTGATTCCGCAACTTCTTTGAGTTCTGAATCTTATGAATCCGTTGTGGAGCTGGTCTTCGATAAAATAAGAAATAAAACAAAAATCGCAGAAAATCTTCCTACTAAAAAGCCAGTTGGAATCGACGTGGTTGGCAGAAGCTCCACGACAGTCACTCGCCTGAGTAGACAAGGTTATTCAGACAGTGAAGAAGATATGCTTGACACGCTAGGAGATAGTAAAAGAAATGGACGTCTGACCACACCTTCACAGGTAATTCCAGATGGTACAACCGTTCATGATCTCTACGGAAGGCGCAGGTATGAAGAAGAGGGCTCTGATTCCACCTTGGGTGAGGCTTTATAAAAGGTACTTCCTTAAATTCAGATCTACCCCTTTATCTAGACTTGGTAGTTTCACCAAATTGTAATTTTCATTAACCCTTCCCAAATATAATGTGTGAAAAATTATCATTCGAAAGGTAATATCTAAATTTCATAATTAATAGGACCGTTAAAATATATTTCGGAGTAAATATACAGTATTTTTTATTTAACCTAAACTAAAAGGGCTAATTATAATTATTCAAATATGCGAAACAGCAATTAAGATGGTGAGTTAAGTTTGATGGAATGCTAAGGTGGGAAGTCTGTAATAGTCTTTAGAATTTATGGATCCCACAACTGTTTGCAAATGACTGGCGTGAATTATATGATGATTTTTTTTATTTCCATTGAATTTCTATTGTGGAAATTGTGGCATTCAATAATAAAGAAAATATAACTACTTCCTCAATCACTAAATCTTCAAGAGGTTATTAAGTACTAAAGCTAACATTGCATTTGATCCTTATATAGTTTCATAAAATAGTTCTATGGAAAGCATTTTCCCTTAAAGGAATCTAAAAGATGCTAATTTAAAAGAGATCTCAAGCTTATTAGGGACAAATTTCACTTATAATAATTAACAACAAGCGGGCTCAGTTAATCAAATGCACATTCATGCAATTTAGCCGTTGATGTTCGCTTGGGTGTTTTAAAGTCGATTTTTAATTCAAGGCAATCCCCTTAATAAGCTAATTCGTCCATGACTCACCTTTCATAAAGAAACAAGCATATGTTATGTATATATATGGTTTATGGTTAATAACGTAATTATCTGCATTGCAGTGCAATAAACACTTCCATTGTTATTTACGGATAACGAGAACTGGAAAAGGATCATGAAAGCGCGCGCGGGTATTTAGAGTCCCACTTTATTTGATTTCCAGAAGCACCGAAATTTCAACTCTCTCTCATATGAAGATAAGTGAGCACTTATTCTCCTGTTACTCAACATGCGCCAATCGACTTCCAGTTTAGAGTAAAGTTGGTTGGTTGTTTGTTTGTAGGCTTTGAATTTTTCCGTACTTTATAAAATAAATATGAGTCGGAAGTTATCCAATGTTACGTAGATGCGAAGTGGTAAGATGTGCTGTTATTAAAAATATGGAAGGAAGACAAAATAAAATAGTAGATTTCGATGCATTAAAGATTTTCATTGTGCTTTTGATATTGGGTAGATAGTTGTCGGATTTTATGAAAAAAAAGTATTTTGATTCATTTTCATTAAAGAAATCCATGTAATTTTACGTTTGTAGCTACTCAACCAGTATCGTCCCAGCCACCCCTTCTTATGTGCAAATAGATCAAGGAGACATGACCAACCATGGAACAAAAAATTCACTACTATCACAAAATAATCTCATTTGTGGATCTTGAAGTCAAACAAAGATGATTAAATCTATAAACATTACAAATTAGAGTTTTTCCCTTGTGATAAAAGAATCGATCCAAATTAACTCGTGTTGCTCTGATTTTTCTTTTCCAGAAAATATTTGAGGCATACTTCTTCAATGCATCGTAAATGGTCGAAGTCGATAATGTAAGTGCGGGTTTTCCATCACTGTGTTAGAATTAATTTAGAATGGTTGGAATTTATCACCACTGCTAACCTCACAAGTAAGACAAGTGACGAGATCTAAGTTAAGATTTTTTCCAAATTAGTCACTCCAATCTTTTTGCCTGATTCCTTACAAGGCAAGAGCAGGAGATTAGTCTAAATGAGCTATTTATTTATTGATCTAGAGCTGAGTTATTTGTGAGGAGCAGATAAATATGGTGAGTTTATGGTTGCCTTAGAGCGTTTACACGGTATTAGGTCACACCAAATCCTAATGAGTTACGTGTAAGAGACAAGGAGATCGATTAATTAAATCAGAATATATAACACATATGAGAATCGGGAGGTGGAAAAGTCTGCAGCCCTTAGTTGGTGAATTATAGAATAGTCCTAAATTCAGCGCATTTGAATGTGATCCATTGTCTTCAATTAAATTAATTTATTAATTAAAAAGCTGCACAGCAACATCGACTCAACTAAGGCGCGGAATTTGGACTTGAAATGATATTCAGCTCATCCTAATTGCCACTTTTCATTGAAATATTCCTCTTGCAGCCGGAGGAAAAATTGCATAAGTTCACACAATAAAGGGAATACACCTTCTTTATGGTACGAAGTTACGTTGGATTCTACTGATACCATGCTCAGAAGTAACAATTTCCTTAAAAAGGAAGTTATAACTTTTTTATACTTGCATCCTCGTATTAATCAGGTCTGCATACAGTGAAGAAAGAGGAGGATCATTCAGTTTCAATTTCGCAACAGATCACTTTCGTCGTTCTCCCTATCAATTGCTGCCTTAAATCCCCCTCCTCAAAGTGACTAACAATTTCAAACTCAGTTAATTTTGTAGACCCCAGGAAAGTTTACCTGCCTTGCTTGAATGCAGCTATATCACATTTGAACAAGATATCCTCAATCCTTTAAGATAAAAGCTTAACTTTTCCCATTAATAAGCAATGAATTGTATTCCAGTTGAGACATTCACTCTAACACAAGGTGTCCTCTAAGTCTTTGGACTGTGGAAAGAGAAGTTGCTGCAAGTAGCGTCGTCTATTTGTCAACAATCTCTACACTGGTTTCGAACGAGTTGGTCTGATCCAGCGCGTCCACTTAGATTAGTGAATAGGGGGGTGCACATGGGTTTTCCCCATTTCATCGATCAGTATTTGATAAGAAACTTGGTTGCGAGAGTAGCTAGAAATCTCGCCGCGTTAACTTAACTAACTTGAAAATGTGAAAAAATGCGAAATCCTTCCTCCACTAAAACCAGCGGAGACAACTATATAGGGTCTAAATAAAAAGCGAAGAATTCTGAAATTTAATTTTACTAGTAGAGGCGAACTTTTATGTGAATAGTCGTGTAGAAGTAGATTATTTGAGTATAATTCCTCAAAATATCTCCATTTAGACGACAACTGAGACTGTAAATATGGTCAGAACAAATATTTTACACAAAGACTTGCATTAATTCTTGCACCAACTTAGCAGTATTTACGATCTTCACTCTTAAGTGAAGTAGGACATATAA